CCCTCAATCCAACCTAAACTTAACCTCCTCAACCCAACCACGCTAAACCTAACTTAACCTCGCTCAACCCAACCAACGCTAACCTAACTTAACCTCCTTCAATCTCAACTAACCTTAACCCTCCTCAACCAACCTAATTAACCTTCCTCAACCCAACATAACTTAACTCGCTAAAATCCAACCTAACTTAACCTCCTCAACCCAACCAACGCTAACCTAACAACCTCATCCCCATTACCACCTCAACCAACCTAAACTTAACCCTCCTGCAACCGCAACCTAACTTAACCTCAGACCCCAGCCTAACTTACTCCTCAACCCAAACCTAATTAACCTCCCCAGCCCTAACTTAACCTCCTCAACCCACCAAAGGCTAACTAGACTTTAACGCTCCTCAACACCAATCCAACGCTAACCTAACTTAACCCTCCTTTAACCCAACCTAACTTAACCTCTTCAAACCAACTAACTTAACCTCCTCAACCCCTAACCTAAACTTAACCTCCTCCAACCCAACCTAATTAACCATCAACCCAACCAAAGCTAACACTAAACTTAACGCTCCCTCAACCCAACCAAAGCCTAACCCAACTTGACCTCCTAACGCCCAACCAAAGCAAACCTAACTTACCTCGCTCACCCAACAACGCTAACCTAACTTAACCTCCTCAAACCAACCAAAAGCTTAACCTAACTTAACCTCAACATCCGCTCCTACTATAACCTCACCCAACAAAGCCTAACCTAACTTAACCTCCTAACGCCAACCAACGCTTAACCTAACTTAACCAACCAAAGCTAACCTATACTTACCTCCTCAAAACCCAACCAAGGCTAACGCTAAGCTTAACCTCAAACCCAAGCAAGCTAACCTAACTTAACCTCCTCAAATCCAACGCAACACCTCCTCATCGCCAACACAAAGCGCTAAACCTAACTTAACCTCAACCCACTAAAATTAAGCAAACGCTACCTAACTTAACCTCCTCATTCCACCTCTTAACCTCACACTCACCACAACAACGCTAACCTAACTTAAACCTCCCTCAACCCAACCAACGCTAACCTAACTTAATCTCGCTCAATACCAACACAATGCTAACCTAACTTCTAAAACCTCCTCGAATCCAACTAACTTAACTCCCAATCCAACCATATCTTACCTCCTCACCACCAATGCTAACTAACTTCTCCATTCAAACCACCACGGCATCTACTTCTCCTCACCCAACCAACGCTAACCTACTACCTCACTCAATACCAACCTAACTTAACCTCCTCACCACCACGCCTAACTCTTACCTCTCACCAAACCTAACTTTAAACCTTCGCTCAACCCACCAAACGCTAACCTAACTTACCCGGACCCAACACCAACGCTAACCTAACTTAACCTCCTCACCCAACCTAACCTAACCTCACTCCCCCTACTTTAACCTCCTCAACCCCCTACTTCTTCCTCTGCCCTAAACTTAACCTGCCTCACCAACCACCCTGCTACCTAACTTTAAAGCCTCCTCAATTCCAACCAATGCTACCTACTTAACGCTCCTCATGCCAACCTAACTTAACCTCACCCAACCAAAGCTAAGCATAACTTAAACCTCCTCAACCAACCAACGCTAACCTTTAAACTTAACGCTCCTCAACTCCAACCAAACGCTAACCCTAACTTAACCTCCTCAACGCCAACACGCTAACGCACTAACTTTAACCTCAACCAACCAACCAACGCTAACTAACTTAACCTCCTCCAACGCCAACCTAACTTAACCTCCTCAACCACCTTAACTCCTCTCAACCCAACCTAACAAACTTAACCCTCCTCAACCCAACCAACGCTAACCTAACTTAACCTCCTCAATCCACCAACGCTAACCTACTTAACCTCCTCATCCAACCTAACTTAACCTCTCAACCCAACCCGCTCCTAACTTAACCTCTCAACCACCAACGCTATCTAAAACTTCCAACCTAACTAAACCACCTCAACGACCAACCTAACTTCCTCCTCATTCCAACCAACTTAACCTCCTCCCCAACCAACGCTAACCTAACTTAACCTCCTCAACCTAACTTAACCTCAACGCTAACCTAACTTAACCTCCTCAACCCAACCAACCTAAACTTAACCTCCTAACTTAACCTCCTCAACCAACCTAACTTACCTACTCAACCCAACCTCCTCTAACCAACAACTTACCCTCCTCAACTAACTTTAACCTCCTCAACCCAACCAACGCTAACTGCTAACTTAACCCAACCAAACGCTAACCTAATTAACCTCAAACCCAACCTAACTTAACCTCTCAACGCCAACCCGCTAACCTCTCAACTAACTAACCTCCTCAATCCAACCTACTTAACCTGCCTCAACCACCTAACCGCTAACCTAACTTAACCTCCTCAACCTACCCCTCAACCCAACCTAACTTAACCTCAACCCAACCAACGCTAAACCTCAACTAACTTAACCTCTCAACTCTTAACCTCAACCCAAACTCGCTAACCTACTTAACCTCCTAACTTAACCTCCCACCTACTAACCTCCTCAAACCCCTAAACAACCCTCCTCAACCAACGCAACCTAAACTTAACCTCCTCAATCCAACCTAACTTAACCTCCTCAATCCAACCTAACTTAACCTCCTCAAACCTCTTAAGCCTCCCAACCCTAACCTAACCTCCACCAATCCACCTAAACTTAACCTCCTCAACCCAACCTAACTTAACCTCCTCATCCAACCAACTTAACTCCTCAACCAACCTAACTTAACCTTCCTCAACCACAACCTCAATAAACTTTAAGCAATCCAACCTAACTTAACCTTCTCAATCCAACCTAACTTCAACCTCCTCAATCCAACCCTAACTTAACTCCTCCAACGCTAACCTAACTTAACCTCCTCAACCCAACCAACGCTAACCTAACTTAACCTCAACCCAACCAACGCTAACTAACTTAACCTCCTCAACCCAACCTAACTATTCCTCCTTCAACCCACACCAACGCTAACCTAAACTTAACCTCCCTCAACCCAAACCAACGCTAACGCTAACTTAACCTCCTCAAACCCAACAACCTAACTTAACCTCCTCAAGCCAACCAACGCTACCTAACACTCCTCAACCCAACCAACGCTAAACCTAACTTAACCTCCTCAACCCAAACCTAACTTAAACTTAAGCGCTCCTCAACCCAACCAACGCTAACCTAACTTAACCTCCTCAACCCAACCAACGCTAACCTAACTTAACCTCTCCAACCTAACTTAACCTCCTCAACCCAACCTAACTTAACCTCCTCAACCCAACCTAACTTAACCTCCTCAATCCAACCTAACTTAACCTCCTCAACCCAACCTAACTTAACCTCCTCAACCCAACCTAACTTAACCTCCTCAAACCAACCTAACTTAACCTCCTCAATCCACCTTTAACTCCTCCCAACCTAACTTAACCTCCTCAACCCAAACCTAACTTAACCTCCTCAACCCAACCTAAACCTCAAACCTAACTTAAACCTCCTCAATCCAACCTAACAACCTCCTAACCCAACCTAACTTAACCTCCTCAACCAACCTAAAACCTAAACCTCTTAACCTCCTAACAACCTCTCAACCTAACTTAACCTAACCAACCTTAACCTCCTCAACCAACCTAACTAACTAACCTCCTCAACCCAACCTAACTTAACCTCCTCAATCCAACCTAACTTAACCTCCTCAACCCAACCTAACTTAACCTCCTCAACCAACCCTAACTTAACCTCCTCAAATTCCACGCTAACCTTAACCCAAATCCAACCTAACCTAACTCCTCAATCCAACCTAACTTAACCTCCTCAACCCACCTAACTTAAGCCTCCCAACCAACGCTAACCTAACTTAACCTCCTCAACCCAACCTAACTTAACCTACTAACCTAACCTAACAACCCCTAATAACTTAACCTCCTCAACCAACCTAACTTAAAACCTCCTCACCCAACCTAACTTACCTCTCCTCAACCCCTAAACCTAACTTAACCTCTCAACCCCCTCACCCCTCAACCTACCTACTTAACCTCCTCAACCAACCTAACTTAACTCCTCAACCCAACCTAACTTAACCTCCTCAACCCAACCTAACTTAACCTCCTCAACCCAACCTAACTTAACCTCCTCAACCTAACCTAACAACCCCTCAAACCTAACTTAACCTCCTCAACCCAACCTAACTTAACCTCCTCAATCCAACCTAACTTAACCTCCTCAACCCAACCTAACTTAACCTCCTCAACCCAACCTAACCTAACCTCCTCAACCCAACCTAACTTAACCTCCTAACTTAACTCCTCCCCAAAACTTAACCTCCTCAACCCAACCAAAACTAACCTAACTTAGACCTCCTTTACGGCCGGTTTGTTAAAAAATTTACCAATCCTGACCCAAAGAATTTAATTTTCTTAAATAAAGACGCGGAAATAGACATATTTGTCTATTTAACCATTTATTTGCCCGGTTGATATGCATGTCTATCCTGATAAAGTATGCGTTTATTTCTTTTGTCCTCATAAGTATGCGTTTATTTCTTTTATTTTATTGCGTGTCAAGGAAACGGATATTCTCTGGGTCGGGACTCGAAACATTTTTAACGAACCGGACGATAAAGCGAGGGAATAATTCTCATTTATTTCTGGTTTTAATCTTTAATTGCGTTACTAATTAAAAAGTTAACTAAGAATTAAAATTAAAATTAAAATTAAATTAAAATCAAAATTAAAATTAAAAAGTTAAATAAAAAAAATTTTTTTCGCTAAATGATGATTATTATTATAGATAAAAATATTTGAATTAATGATATGAATCTAAAAAAAAAAAAAAATCATGGAAGCCGTTCAGAGCTTCTAGAAACCCGCCACGAGCCTGACCCCATTTCCCCCCTATTTTTTTAATGTTATTCCCCCTTTATCGTCTATTTTTCCCCCTTCCCCCCACCAGAACGGCCCCCTCGACTTACGCGGATGCGCGGGAGGACCAGGTAGGCCGTAATTCCGACCAAAAACAGGAAAAGGAGAGAGCGGAGAACAGTGTGTGTCGCCATCGCCTCGGAGTTGAAGAAAGAGGGCGTCTGTATCCTTGCGTCGGATTCTACGGATCATTCCTTTTTTTCTACTTTTTATTTTTTTGGACTATCCGATGGGTTTTGGTTGTTTTATGTGTTTGGATACGGATAGGTAGTATGCTGGTGGTTGATTTAGGATATGTAAGGCCGTAGGTGAGTGTGTATTTGAGAATTGATATTTTTATTTCTTTTTGGATGAAAGAAAGGGGTGGGAAGGGAATCGGACGAGCCCGGTGAAAATCCCGCCAAAATTCTGAAATTTCTAACGGTTTTTTTTCAATTCTGTTTCTTTCTTTGATATGATATTTTATGTTAATTTCTGATTAATTTTTAATGGGGGTATTCGATATTTTGCTTGATTAGGGTTTATAAAACATGATCCTCACAATACAGGTTAAAACTTTATTTCATATTATATGATGTGTATTATTACTTTGACACTAATTATCTTTATTCGTGTACACTTTTTACTCACTGTATGTATGTATGCTTTTACGCATGTATCATATTATTTGTTTTTGAACTATTACTGTTGAAAAAGATTTAGGATTATATAATGTGGTATTGACGAAATTAGGTAAAGAACTATTGGAAACACTGTGCATCATTCAACATATGTATAATATACATTTTACAAATGTGTTACTATACCCGAAAATAAGACGTTTTTTGCATGGTTTAATGTAGTGACGTTTTTTGTAGATTATTTTCTTATCTCTTAAGGACATATTACATAGTCAGACGGGAAATAACTACATATTAAGAAGAAAAAACGCTTAATTTGTGGAGTCTAGTAATCAGAAAGACAATTGTGTATCATGTCAGATTTACCATCATTACTGAAACATGATATGCACTATCATGAGTTCGAAATACATATTATCATGAATTTCTGGTTATCTCACACAATCAAAGCTTTGTCCACAGAAAATACACAGAGGCTGAAAGGAATCTGTATAAGTGTACAGCTCATGAAAATGTGTATATCTCGTGAAAAAGTGTACAGCTCATAAAAAGTCATCAAATGACGTATCTATTAAGTGCCGCACACTCACACTAATAACATATGACATGTATGTTTCCCTGGAAAAAATATCGTTACGGTCGTCCTGCATTCAAGTTGATTTTAACAGTCTTTTCATGTTCACTTATTTTTCATGTTGATTATCAACATTGCTATATTTATATATTATTGCTATACTTATATGAACAGGCTGGTGTTTCACATTATTTTTCTTCTGAGGATTTTCCATTGAACAACGTTGGTGTTGATATTTAGTAAGAATTGCTTAGTGTAGTAAAAGAGTAATGATAATAAAACATGTACATACAAATTCAAAAACAAAATCGTTACGAGTTTTAAATTCACGCCAATGGAACTAACCTAAATCCGTTACGTTTTGGCAGATTCCAGTTCGATTGAATCCTGGCGCCTATTTATTCACCGTGAAGGGAAAGTTGATGTTACTCTGCATACAATACACTCCTATTGTTTTAATGGGCTTCATAACATCAATAATAGAATGGATGAATAAATAGAGAGAGAGAGAAAGTTAATCGCTTAGCAACCGACGTTATCGACATTTCTTGGTCTTCGAGAGGACGGTAAAAAAAGAAGAAAATATGCAACTACATAATTACACAATTAAATAAATGAGATTTATCAACGTTCGTCCTGAAAAAAGAGAAGTGGACTCCAGTATCCTTCTCTTATTTGAGCGTGATAGCAACCTCGGGGTTATTTTCCCTCCGGGGAATTGAAATTGTCATTGTGCCTTATTGAGTTACTCGCAATATCGGTTATGGAAGAGAGAGAATGTGAGAGAGAGAGAATGTGTGTGTGTGTGTGTGTGTGTGTGTGTGTGTGTGTGTGTGTGTGAGAGAGAGAGAGAGAGAGAGAGAGAGAGAGAGAGAGAGAGAGAGAGAGAGAGAGAGAGAGAGAGAGAGAGAGAGAGAGAGAGAGAGAGAGAGAGAGAGAAAGAGAGAGAGAGAGAGAGAGAGAGAGATAGACAGGTAGATAGAAAGAGAGAGAGAGAGATGGGGGAGAAAGTGGCATCCTTAGGGACAGATAGAGAGAAATAGATAGATGGGGGGGGGGGGAGAGAGAGAGAGAGAGAAAACAGACAGATATAGAAAGAGATAGATAGAGAGTAAATGTAAGAGAGAAGGAGAGAGAGATGTGATACATTAGAGATAGAGAGAAGGGGGGAGAGAGAGAGAGAGAGAGAGAGAGAGAGAGAGAGAGAGAGAGAGAGAGAGAGAGAGAGAGAGAGAGAGAGAGAGAGAGAGAGAGAGAGAGAGAGAGAGAGAGAGACAGACAGACAGACAGACAGACAGAGACAGAGAAAGAGATGGGGGCACACAAAGAAAGAGACTGAGAGAGAGAGAGAAGATAATCACCTCGAAGCAGAGTATACTCAAAAAGACAAAAAGACAAAAAAAGTTATACGAGCCACGGACAAATAGAACTGTCCTCTGACATAAGCCTTTCGCTATTTTCTCTGCCAAATGGAGGCTGGCGGCGATATCTGCACACCGTGGATTACACAGCGGGACAAAGGCAATGTACGTAATACTATGACGGCGCAATCCGTACCATGGGTGTGGATTAGAACGAAGTCGGAACACAGAAGCGAGGCGTACATATTCTATTGCCTCTTGGAAAAAAAGTCATACGGCTTTTGATATGACACACGGGGTTGGTTGACAAGGCTCTCTTCCACTACATACTGATTATTTATTTATTTATCTATTTATTTATTGCTTTCTTATTAGCAACGGCGAAGCAATATACTTGCATATAACACCAACGGAACGGGTGGAAGGCGAAGGGAATAAAATTTAGACTTCGGATTATTTCTAGATGTACTCCAAAGTGCAACTGTAGTGATCGACAAGTCGAAGCGGCCCCACCACGGAAAAAGTACCCGGCGGAAATACCAGAGTTACCCCTGGTCACGCAATATATTACGGTGCCCCGGTCGCAGGGAGATGTCTGGAGGCCGGAAATGGATTATTTTATTTGTGTTGGCTGATGTTACTCTTATGACTTATTGATTCTTAATTAAATATTTTTTTATATAAATTTTTACTCGTTTTCTTTTTACTATTCATAAGAATGAGCACATTCCGTCCCTTGGAAGGCAGTATCCTTCCTCTCGTGTTACTAATATATTGGTCTTAAAGCTACTCCGTCCTTTTTAAATTGTTTGGAGGGGTTTTTACAAGTATCTTTTAAGTAAAACTAACTTAATGGGAGGGAAGAAGATACCGCCCTCTATTGAGAAAGGTGTCCTGACCTTTTTTGACCCCAGAGTCCCTTCGTTTTTGTATATTCGTTGCGGAGGGTGGTAATAAATATAGCCCAGGAAGCCAGGTCAAGGCAGAGCATCTCCCAGCCGTGTGACCCGGCAGTTGGATGTAGGGAGATGTTTCTTTTATACTTTCTTGTGGTTTTGGTTGCAAGGGCGTTTTGCTGAAGGCGGTGAGACGGAATATCTTTGTCATTTTTTTATTTCTTAATTAAGGCGATGTGCTCCTTTTTATGGTTTAGCTTTTAAGTGTTATTTTACTGGTTTTCTTGTTTTATTTAATGTTCGCTTGTCGTTTCTTTAAGTGAGCTTTTATCGGTTTCTGTGGTAATCTGTAATAAATGTAACTTCAAATTTAATGTTTAAGGTATCCCTCTGTGCTCCCTCAAGTATATTTTAAGTTATATCTAAAACCTAAAGATTTCAGTTCATTTAAAATAATAATTTAAATGAAGATAAATGAGATGATAATAAGATGAGATTTGAGATGAAGGCAGGCGTTATTCTCCATGGTATGTAAATTCCCATGATGGTAGCATGAATGAGCTATGGGGATGAGATGTAGAAGATTAAAAACCTTGCAAGGTAAAGGATGTTGAGTGTCTGATTTCTTCTAGAATTTTAGACTTTACTTTGCATATTCAAAACCCGTAAATCTATACCTTCCATCGGCTCAGGGCCGACGCGCACTCCACCTCGGACACTAAAAACCACGCTACTCAGTGCTAACCTTTGAAAATTGGTATGGTCATTTCTTTACACTTGCACACTTGCTATCCAGTTTCATTTACCCTCTTCTAGATGCCTCTAACTTTCCAAACATATAAACTAGCGTTCCTGGACGAACTAACCAGGTGGTGGCAGCAAGACTTCCATACCAATGATCGATGGTTTTTATGAGTTTTATTAGCTTGAATCGCTAGAGAATCACTACACAACAAATCTGCACCGATTGCAGTTCTATACCACTGGTAATTTTGGTTGTGGATTACGTCATTGCTATTTGTTTCACGATGTCTGCTGTACTTTATTTCACGATGTCTACTGCACTACAAAGGGGCAGGGGGCAAGGGAGAGCAGCACTGGAAACACTGCCCCGAAATCCACATGCCTTGGGGTCTGCTTGTTCTATGACGTCACCTGCCGTCTAGGTTAGGTCTCAAGGTGTCGTCGGAGGAGCCAAGGGGAAAGCAGGAGAGGGGCCAAGGGGGAAGCAGGAGAGGGGCCAAGGGGAAAGCAGGAGAGGGCCAGGGGAAAGCAGGAGAGGGACCAAGGGGAAAGCAGGAGAGGGGACAAGGGGCAGGAGAGGGGCCAAGGGGAAGCATGAGAAGGGCCAAGGGAAGCAGGAGAGGGGCAAGGGAAGCAGGAGAGGGGCCAAGGGAAGCAGGAGAGGGGCCAAGGGGAAGCAGGAGAGGGGCCAAGGGGAAGCAGAGAAGGGCCAAGGGCCAGGAGAGGGCCAAGGGGAAAGCAGGAGAGGGGCCAAGGGGAAGCAGGAGAAGGGGCCAAGGGGAAAGCAGGAGGGGCCAAGGGGAAGCAGGAGAGGGCCAAGGGGGAAGCAGGAGAAGGCCAAGGGGAAGCAGGAGAGGGCAAGGGGAAAGCAGGAGAGGGGGGGAAAGCAGGAGAAGGGAAGGGGAAGGAAGGGGAAAGCAGGAGGGGGCCAAGGGGAAAGCAGGAGAGGGGCCAGGGGAAAGCAGGAGAGG